GATAATTCCTCTGGCTGCAAACCCCATGTAAATGTAGGCGGTCATAACACTACTCGGGGTGAGAAATAGGAACAGCAGGAATAGAAGGATTTCCTCAGCAACAAAGATCTGCTTCACTTAAAAATACTTCAGTAAGAAAAAAACCAGAAAGATGTCAGGAAGGCTTCAGCTTTCAAGAAGAGCGGGGGAAAAGCTGCTTCTGTTTCATCACTTTTTGATATTTGCTAGGAATTGTGGCGTCTTAACCCAAGAAAAAGGGTAGGGAAATTAAAATAGGGATGACAAATCACCGCCACAGAGTGTAACTGCTTGGGAGAAGTCCCCTTGCAATGTTGGGATCTACATCCCTTTTACTTTCCCATGCGATTAAGCAGAAACAGCGAAAGAGTGAGGCCTGAGAAGGCAGAAGTGACAATAATAACTGCGGGGAAGAGGCAAACATATTCAGGAGCCTTGTATAACCACTGTAAGAATGGATCGGTGAGTTGGGGTTAAGGGAGAGCATTCTCTGTGTCCTGGCAAAGAAAACCCGTGGGGATGGCCCAGGTTTCCCTCAGCAGCAAGCCCCGGCACGCGCTTGGTGGCACCTGAGAAAGAGCAGAGATTTTGCAGCGTCCCTTCCCCACCTCTTACATCAGAATTGCACAACGCGGCTGGTTTCTGTTTGCCAAGGGCTGGGGATATGAAAAGTGACTGTAAAAGCTGCCTGGGTAAGTGGGCCAGTCGAATCAAGGTGAATTATGAAACTGGCCCCGCAAGCTGTGTGCGCGGTACACGATGATGGATTTAAATCCCGTTTCTCTCCTAATTTTGGGGCCTTTTCAGCTCTCTCTCTCGCCTTTCGCTCTGCGGAATATTTTCTCTTTTTGCCTTTCCCCCATTCAGCATGGTTTTTCCTCAAGAATCCTTCCCTTGCGTGCCTGCTCAGCCCGTCTGCTGTGAAATCAGCTCCTTGGGATCTGGCAGCTCGGGCAGCGAGAACGTAAAGGTATTTCCTAGGAAGGGCTGGTTGCAACTGGAAAAAAATAAAGGAAGGATGAATCAGTGAAGCGAAGGGTGAAAATGAACAAATGCTGAGTCACCCCCTGGAAACGAAATCATCTGCAAAACCATGGCCTGGAATCATAGGAAATAATGCTGGAGAAGGCCTTGGGAGTTGGTGCAGACAATCCCCACCCCCCCTGGCACTGTGCAGTATCAAACCTCTCTGCTCCTCTTCCCTTTTGATATCACGTGCCATAATGGAAAGAGAAAGGGAAAAAAAAAATGCCACTAAATGGGGCAGTACAAGCTTGACCTAAGCAGCAATTCTCAAAGGGAACGAGGAAAACAGGACTTGAGTCCATCTCAGTTTAATTAGACTTTCAAATTAACAAATCTCCTTTTCCATCCTCTTTTTTCCCCCCCCTCTCCGCTTCCCAGCTGCCTTTTCTTTTAATCTCCTCTTTCAATCTATTTGAACCCCTCTGACACTCTCCAGTGTAAGGAATCCTCCCTCACCATGCCAGTGGCTTCTCTGCCACTTCGAAGGAGCAACAGGCACACGCGACTTCAGGGATGATGTATAAAAATCATAAAGGCAGCTTCTGCCGAGGCCATCCTTAGGCTGAGCTCCTCGTGGTCGTGGTGCCCTGCCACATGAGGTGGCACTTCAGCAAGATGAAATTATATATTTTGCCTCCGATGCTGTAAACACGGGGAGGAAGCCAAGGGGAGGCAGTCGCTGAGCATTGGAGAAGACACTTACAAATTGTCAGCCTATCCATGGGAGCGCAGCAATGCAAGGATGAGCTGCCTGGAATGGGAAGATTGGCCCCTTTTTGAATTTTTTTCCCACTTTTAGAAATGGAAGAGTGGATCCTGCCAGTTCCTGTGCATCCAACACGGCAGGATGGCCATCGGCTGTCCCCAACCACTGCAGGCTGGTGTGCTGAAATGAGCAGTGCTCTTCCAAAATCTCCTCTTGATTGCAGACACAGCCTGAGGGACAGTTCCCTTCTCACCCTTCCAGATTTCAGCCCGTATGGTCCCCCAGTGATGGCCACATTTCCAGTTTAGAGCTCAGGCCTCAAGCGCCATGCCGTGCTTCGTCCAAAGAGTAGCACAGGGCTTCAGAGATAAGACAACCCTTGCTGCCATCAAAAGTGTGGGCAAGCATTAGCTTGGCATGTTGGGGATGGGTGCACTCACCCACAGGGTGGTCCGTGATGTGCTGGTGGGAGCGGGCAAGCTCTCTGCAGCGGGCATTGCCCGGGCTTCAAGGCTTTTCCTGGGTTTGCACCATAAACACAGGTTTGGGGTGCTGCAGCTGGCAAGAGAGCATGGAAAGCAAAGAAAAAGAGATCAACACGTGCTCCCTGTGTCCCTCCAGGTGGGATATTTTGGTGTCTGTGTCCCACCTGGGTGCTCTGTGCCCGGGGGTGACCCCAGCCCTGGTGGGTGTTTGTGCTGGTGCCCACCTGGGAAGAGGGTGGTGGGGTGTGTGTGTGTGCCCAGGGGGGTGCCACACATGACCCTGATGCCCCCCCAGGGTGTGGGTACCCATGAGTGTACTTAGTCTCCCAAGTCACAGGAGATAGGACAAGTGGAAATGGCCTCAAGTTGCGCCAGGGGAGGTTTAGATCGGATATTAGGAAAAATTTCTTCACGGAAAGGGTTATCCAGCATTGGAATGGGCTGCCCAGGGAAGTGATCAAGGCACCATCCCTGGAGGTGTTCAAAAGACGGGTTGACATGGTCCTCAAGAATATGGTTTGGTGATTTTTTTTTTTTTTTAATTGCTTATTTCTCATTTATTTTTTTGTCAGAGTTAGGCTGATGGTTGGTTAAGGTCCCTTCCAACCTAGACGATTCTATGATTCTATCAGTGTACCCACACACCCATGTGATGAATGGAGCCCCTCTGCTGGGAGGACAGGCTGAGAGAGTTGGGGGGTTCAGCCTGGAGAAGAAAAGGTTTCGGGGACACCTTGGAGTCCCTTCCAGTCCCTCAAGGGGCTCCAGGGGAGATGGGGAGAGACTCTGGATCAGGGAGGGGAGCCATAGGATGAGGCGGAACGGTTTGACACTGAAAGAGGGGCGATTGAGATGAAATGTGGGGAAGAACTTCTTTGGTGTGAGGGTGGTGAGAGCCTGGCCCAGGTTGGCCCGAGAAGCTGTGGCTGCCCCATCCCTGGAGGGGTTCAAGGCCAGGTTGGAGGGGGCTTGGAGCAACCTGGTCTGGTGGGAGGTGTCCCTGCCCAGGGCAGGGGGTGGCACTGGATGGTCTTTAAGGTCTCTTCCCACCCAAACCACTCTATGATTCTGTGATATTAGGTGGGTACCCCCGTGAGCCCCGTGCCCTGGCAGGACTGACCCGTGGGTGGGTGCATCCTGGCAGTGCTGGGTCCCTCCGTGGGTGGGTGCCCATGGGGGGTCCTTGGTGCCCTGGCTGTGGGTACCCCAGGTGTGGGTGCCCCCCATGGGTGGGTGCCCGTGGAGATGCCGGGTGCCCTGAATGCGGGGTTCCCCGGTGGGTGGGCACCCCCGGACCTACCCCTGGCTGTGGGTGCCCGATGCCCCACGCACGGTTACCCCGGGGGCTGCCGCCGCCGCCGCCCGTGGGCGGGTGCGGGGTGGGCGGGTGCCC